GCCTAGACCCTTCTTCTGAAGAAGGGTCTAGGCCCGAAACGTCAGCCTTCCTGCTCCTCTGATGCTGCTGGGCCTGCTGTGTTCATCCAGCTCTACACCTTGTTATTCCATTAACTAGTTTCAGTTGGGTATCAGAACTCCACATATGCAATCCAGTTCTCCATCCTGCAAAGATACTATTGTCAAGCAACTAGGTGGGATAGTAGAATTTGATAGCCAAAAGAAAAGGGTTGTGGAACCTTACAGCAAAGCAGAGGATATGAGAATTTTTATTACTGAGGAAAAAGGCATAACGATACAGTCTTAGATGAAAGGCTGTTTACACGTGGATTGTCGAATCTTGCATGATGCCTATAACAAGAAGGATCGCTGGGCACCTGGTGCAGCTACGATTGAAGCACTGAATAGATCTGTCCAGTTTTCACTGCACAGTGTGCAGCACTATTCACAGCTCCTTAGATACGCAAGTCATCTGTGCCCATATGCAACAAGAGACGTGCTAAGTGGCAAGAATCATTCACACCATACAAGCGTGAGGCAATGGCCATCTCCAACAAAAGAAGATCTCATCATTTTCCTTGACATTCAACACATTACTATTACTGAACACCCAGCATCAATATTCTGGGGTCACCACTGACCAGAAAACTAAATTGGGCCAACTATACAAATACACTGGCTATAACAGCAAGTCAGAAACTAGGAAATCTGTAGCAGATAATTCACCTGATAATTCCTCAAAATCAGTCCAGCATCTTCTCACACCTAATTCTTCAAGATTTAGGTCAGGAATATGCTGCACTTAACTCAACCCTCAAGAAACTTTAAACCATCAGGATAAAACAGACATCCATTCGCAACTTAAAGACAGATGCCCTTCAAAAGTGAGGGACAGTGGCAGCAGGGCATACCAGGACAAGATGCATTGCAGCAACTTTACCAGGTTCCTCTGTCAGCACCTTCCAAGCATGTGACCTCTCTCACCTCGAAGGACAAGGGGAATGACAGTTCTGAAGAAGGGTCCCGACCCGAAACATCGACTTTCCTGCTCCTCTGACACTGCCTGGCCTGCTTTGTTCCAATGAAACAGGTCTTCAAATGTCAGGGCAGCCGGTCTCTCGAGTTCAACTCCTTTGTCCATGTTTGAACTAAGGCTGTAATGAGATCAGAAGCTGAGTAGCCCTGCCAAAACAGAATGTCAGTGAGCAGTGTATTGTTAAGTAATGCAGTACTGTCGTTGATCCCTTCCATCACTTTACCGATGATTGAACACGAACAATTGCTATCCCAACAGTCTAAGTCAGATTTATCCTCCTTTGTGTGTGCAGGACATACCTGAGTGACTTTCCACATTATCAGGTAGATGCCAGCGTTGTACTCGAACAGCTTGGCTATGCACACAGCAGGTTCTAGAGTACAAGTCTGCAGTATTACCATCAGAATGTCACCAGAACCTGTTGCCTTTGCAGTATTTAGCATCTTCAGCCATTTCTGGATATCATTTGCAGTGAATCAAATTAAGCGGAGGCTGTGATTCTGGGTACTTCCAGAGGAGGCAGTGGTGAATCAACTTCTCTTTGAAGTTTTTTGTAAAGGTTTCAGCCTGATCTTTTGCTTATGCTTGGCTCCCTCATCATTGAGGATGGGGATATTTGTGGAGCCTGCCGCCTCAAGTAAATTATTTACTTGTCCACCATCATTCATGACTGGATGTGGCAGAGCTTAAGTCTCATAAACATGTGATACTACAACTCTTGTAT